GGCCCTGCCCCCCCGGCCGCATGTAGGCCGCGTTCACCAGCCTCTCGCTAGCTCCGAAATTCTCAACGTTCATGTCGAAAGGCGTGGGCGGAGAAACCGACACACACGCTCGCACCCCAGGTTTGTTCGCCTACCGCCACTGCGCAGGCGCAACTCCCTCGAACAAGGGTCGCGACACCACGTGAAACGACTCGCTCAATTCAGCAAAAGCGTGTGCGCGTGCGCGCGGGCAACGCGTGGCCTCTCCCGCGCCCTCTGGGGGTGGTTTAGGGTGCAGCGCTCTTCTCCTGACGTGGCGAGTGTTCTATTCGCGTGCCTCGCGAGGGCGCTGCTGCTGCCGCCTCCTCAGCTGAGCCGACCTGTACGCAGCCCAACCGCCTTAGACCGCCGACTGCAGCCAGGTTCTCCATGCGGAGGTGAGGCGGGGCCCGCCCCACGCGGAAACGCGAGGGCCAGCTCAGCTGCACGCCACGCCGCGTCCTGGCCTGAGTCCAGCCCGACTGACCGAGCGCCGCGTGCGGCGGGGCACAGGGCTGTAGCGTTACGTGAAAACTGCTGGAATCATTCGTGTTCAGCTCCGCTCTCTTTAGTATCTCTAGTCTCTGTAGCTGTCCGCTCAGTCGCGGTGGGCAGTTTTATTCATCAGATTTAGTCACTCTTCGGTTTGAGTCTGAAGCAGATATTTTAAGTGGTTAATTGATTTGAAATAACGAACCAGTTAGTAGGAACATATTTCAGGCTGGGGATTGCTTGCCAGCCCTTCACTGTTTTTGAGTATTGGACATATAGAATTCGCTGGGTGTTTGTGTCCTGCCCGACTTTATAAGCAGGAGGAGAGCCTGCGCAATGTACTGGGCGCTTTCATTCTGGCAGGTGGAGGTTGGAAGGATTAAAAGAAAAGAGAGGAGTTAGGAGAGCTGGAATTTTAGGAGTAACTTCAATCTGTCTCCGGAAAACATTTTCTAGTTCAGAATGTTCTGCTGCTTATTTTTATGCAAAAGAAATAAAGGATTGATTGGTCCCTGAGCTAATAACGCTGTTTACTTTTGAGCAAATGTAACTTACTTATTTAAAACTTACTTTTTGAAGTCTTATCTGTTTTTCCACTCTAGGTTTCATGTTTATATGGTTACATGGGAAACCTACATTGTGACCTCTCTGAACCTATTGAACTGTAGCTTTAATCAGCTTAATTTGTGATGTGGTTGGTGAAGTAAGGGTAAATGTATTTGAATTATTGTTGGCTCACAGTTTACTGCTAATACATTGCTCAAACAGGCTGACGAATATAGAAGAAAGCCATTCTAAAAGAGCTTTCCCCAATAATCAAAATATTTGTGTTAAATGTGGAATATGGTGCTACACTGGATTAATTTTGTTTTCATACAAATAAGGGACATGTATTTATGTTGCTGATCTTTATTTAAAAGTAGCACAAGAGGGCGCCCACCTAAAGCTAAAACACTGAATGTGAACAAGCTAGACTGGGGCTTACCTCTGTTTGTATTTACCGTCTTTTATATTTCCTTTGTTTTAGGGCTCAGACAGCACTGTAAGAGTTACATTATAAATCAGGCAGCAAGAAACATAAATATTTCAGGCTTCACATTCAAATTGATGGAAAAAACATGAAAAAATTGAAATAATCCAAACTTTTCAGCATTTTAAAAAACACAATCCAGAAACATGAGCTAATAATTTGAATTCAATAAGAATAGCTTGTAAATACTATTTGAAATATACTTAATTTATCAGTATGGATATGTTATAGAAACTATAGGTGTTTGAGGCCTGTACCATTGATCATTGTGTGAGCGTGGGTGCTGTTTAGGTTAGGCATATATGAGCAAACCATAGAACTCCAATTACATAAATAGAAAATCCAAACAGTATTAACGTTTTCATGAAATGGGGATTAGAAAGTGAGATATAAAGATGTTTCTTGTTCAGACTGTCCTCCATTATTGGAAGAAAGAAATCCCAAACTTGTTGGGATCTTCTGTAAGGATGTTAAGGAGTAGTCCACTATCCGATAAGCATTTGCTTATCGGATAGTCGAGTCAACTAGCTGATACCACCTCCCCTCCCTTTCTGCCTCTGTCAGATAGAGGTAGCAAAGGGTGGGAAGAGGGGGTACTTCAAAGCAGCGGCGCTGCATGTACCCGAGCTGCAGTAGCACTGCTGCTTTGAAATGCAATGGCAGAAGTTCCTGTCTAGTAGTCGATGGAAATTCCATCGACTAGTCAACTAGTAAATTACTTGATATTTAACATCGTTAATCTTCTGTAGGAGGTTCTGTCTCTCCAATGCTACAGGACATAATTGAGAGCTAATACTGTTTCATGGTTAACTCCTCTATGTGGACAGAAGTGATTGGTGCCAGCTGGAAGGGGGTGCTGAAAAGATGTGGGAGAACAACATGTAGAGGCATCCCATTTAGCAATTAAAATGTTGGTGGCAGTATAGGGGACCTGTATGTCTCCTGCGTGCTACCACAACTCACCTATGTATGTGAAGATGAATTAGACCTGATTATTGACTGTACAGAGTGGGTGGAAATTTTCTGCCATTCTGGTTTGGTAGCTTTTTTATACCCACTCTGCACAGAGTATGCAACACTGTAAAATCAGGCCAGGTACCTTTTGTCTCCATGTAATTGTTTACACTAGGTATAAACTTTGTCTTATGTTCATTTTCAGCAAAAACAAAAAGTGTAATGAACATGTAAACAAATTCTACGAGATTATAGATATTAATAGCTATATAAGCAAATGATACACAAGGGGGTTCCAAAGTCCATGGCCAGCAGTTAAGCTGCCACCAAACAAGTATCCTTCACTTTAGTTGAATAGAGAATTGACTTACTTACACTGTTAATGAGGAGAGAAGTGGGTTGTATCCACAAAAGCTCATGTTACCATTTACATGTTTTGTTAGTCTTTAAGGTGCTAGACTAATAGTTGTTGTTCCAGTTTTTTCCAGTTACAGCAGTGGGCTCCAACCTTTTTAACAACAAGATCACTTTTTCAATTTAAGTGCAATGTAAGATCTACCTCAAACCAATACCCTGTCCCACTTCCTTCCCACCCCTTCTTTAAGGCCCTGCCCCCACTCCACCCTTTCTCCGAGGCCTCACACTGTCACTCCATCCCCCTTCCTCCACCATCCTCACTCATTTTCACCAGGCTGGGATAGGGGGTTGGGGCGCAGGTTCTGGTCTTGAGCCAAGGGTTTGGAGTGTGGGAGGGGCTCCGGTCTTATCTCAGGATGGGGAATTGGGATCCAGGAGGGGTTTCAAGGCGCAAACTCTGGGAACGAGTTTGGGTACCGGAAGACTCATGTCTGAAGCAGGAGATTGTTGGGGACAGGAGGAGGTTCAGGGCTGGGATAAGGATTCAGGAAGCAGGCTCTGGCTGGACACTGTTTAACTGAGACTGCTTTCGGGTGGTGAAGCAGTGGGGTTAAGGCAGGCTTACTCCTACCCTGGCCCTGCCCCACTCCTGAAAGCAGACGGCATGTACAGCAATAGCTCCATGGCATCTTGTGCTGCCCCTCATCCACAGACACTGAGCCCACAGCTTCTACTGGCCACAGTTTCTCAATACTGATCAATGGGGGCTGCAGGAGTGGTGTCTGCAGGCAAGGACAGTGTGTGGAGAGCCCCTGCAATGCCTCTCTCAGGAGATGCAGGGACATGCAGCCCCTTTCAGGAGCAGCAATTACCACAGGGATAATGACTCCAGCCACACCAGGTTAGGCATTTTAGAACTCACTAATCAAAGAATTGCATTTAAGCGTAAGAGAGAAATGAAAATGATTAAATGAGCAGACCAGTCATAAACCCAAAATGACCCACTTTGCAAACAGTAAAAGGAGTAACAACAATCCATATATGTGTTGGGTTGTGAGATGAGAGGGAAGAAAAATTGTGTGTTTGTGAAAATGACAGACACACACAGTGTGGAGATAGGGGAAGGAAGGACACTCTGACATCAGTGATAGAAATGTAGCCGTGTTAGTCTGGGGTAGCTGAAGCAAAATGCAGGACAATGTAGCACTTTAAAGACTAACAAGATGGTTTATTAGATGATGAGCTTTCGTGGGCAAGACCCACTTCTTCAGATCAAATAGTGGAAGAAAATAGTCACAACCATATATACCAAAGGATACAATTAAAAAAAAAAGTGAACACATATGAAAAGGACAAATCACATTTCAGAACAGAAGGGGAATGCAGGGGAGGGGGGGAAGGAAGGTGAATGCCAGTGAGTTAGTGATAGAAATGTAGCCGTGTTAGTCTGACATCAGTGCCCCTTCTCCCGCCCATACATTGTACAGCAAGCAGGAGGCTCCCAAGGGGGCGGCTCCAAGGCAGAGGGCAGGAGCAGCATGACAGTTGGTGGAGGGGCAACTGAAGTGACGGCGCTTGATAGATTTCTGGTCAAACCAGTGAAGATCACTTGTCAGAGGCTCCAAAATCTACCGGTAGATCCTGACTTATTGGTTAGTCTGTAACTCAGCAGTCACCAACTCAGTTACCCTTCTGAAACAAGAGGAGAGAACAGTTTGGGATTCAGGAACAAAACAAAATATAGTAGAACTCCAATTGTCCGGCACACCCAATAGTCCGGCACCAACTAGAACCTGGAAGTGCTCTAGCCAGCTGGACAATGGGAGCTGCTACATGCTGCTGCCACTGCTGAAACTGACCAGCAGCGGACTTGGGGAAATGGTGCAGAGCAGCTACGGTGCTGCCCGGTTGGTCCCACAGCACCGCCCCTCACCCCTGTGCTCGGTGCCCAGCAGAACCCCAGCTGCTCTGCTCCGTGCTGCTTCCCCAAGACCGTCGCTGCCGAAACTGATGAGCGGCGGACTTGGGGAAGCTGCGAGCAGAGCAGCTAGGGTGCTGCCTGGTTGGTCCCGCAGCGCTGCTCAGGTGAGGGGCGGCGCTCTGGGACCAACCTGGCAGAACCCTAGCTGCTCTGCCCTGCCACTTCCCCAAGTTGCTGCTGCCACTTGCAGCCCCAGCTGGCCTGTTGCTGGCTGCCGCGCGGGGGGGCGGGGGGGGGTTCCCCGCCCTGGAGGGTTCGGCCCACACCATGCTGTTCCCTGCCGACCCC